TCGTTATTCGATATCTGCGCACTCTGACAAGTTCATTCATAACACCAGCTGTGGCAATCACCAACGTTCAGCCTCGTTGAGCTGGCCTCTATTGTCTCGTGTTCGATTCGAGGTTAGGAAATACCTCACGCGTAAGCGCACGCAAATATGTACCAGTTCCTGAAACCTAGAGATTATCTCATCCCTTGGGCGCCATGCGAGCGTACGTGGCTTCTTGAAAGTTGTCGCTCACGTACACCTCCACAAACCCGTTCCGCTGCAGCGCGCGCAGGCACGCGCCCTTGCGCGCCTTCGCATCCGTCACCATGCGATCGTGAAACTCGATCAAAATCTGCCCGAACGGCAGCGGCGATCGCATGCGAAGCCACGCGTCGCACACATCAAACTCCACCCCCTCCACGTCCATTTTCAACACATCGACAAACCCATGCCCGTTCGCGCACATAAACGTTGGCAATCGCAGCACCGGTGCCGGCATCCCCTGGCTCTCGAACCGGCCGGCAAGTTTCTCCGGCTTGACGGCCGTCATGGACTGCACGCGCGGGTTCTTGGAGTGGAAAAAGGTGACGATTCCGTCCGTGCCGGCCAGGCCGAGCTGACGGAATTGGAAGGCGGCCGGCTGGTCGCGATTGTGGTGGTCCCTGAACATGGCTTGCACGCGCTCCGGGGGGACAGTGGGGTCGAATCCAAACACCTGGAGAAAATATTGGGGAAAATTGGGGAGAGAATTGGAAGAGAGAGACATCGTGTGAGAATGGAACTGGAGCATAGCTTGTAGACCCCGGCTGGAATCGCTGAACATGGCTTGCACACGCTCCGGGGGAACAGTGGGGTCGAGTCCAAACACCTGGAGGAGAGATGGGGAGAATTGGAAGAGAGAGACATGGTGTGAGAATGGAACTGGAGCATGGCTTGTAAAACTCGGTTGGTCGCGATTGTGGTGCTCCTTGAACATGGCTTGCACACGCTTGGGGGGAACTGTGGGGTTGAATTCGAACACCTGGAGGAGAGATGGGGGAGAGAAGTGGGACAGAGAGACATGGTGCGAGAATGGGATTAGAAGGGAGAGTGCCACATGTGCTCCAAGGGGACCGCGGGGTTGAATTTGAATACCAAGGGGCTTGGATGAGAGCGGACAAGGTGGGGGTGCAAAGCGGGCAGACTGACTCGGGAACAGTGACTTCAAAGTTGAAAACCCTGCGATGCCCTACTGTGCCATGCCATGCTATGCTGCCTGCCTGCTACCCCTCCATCATCATGCCACTGACTCCCCCATCCCGCCGTTTCAAGGAATGGATGCTGCTCACCCAGTGCTGCTCACCCAGTGCTGCTCACCCAGTGCTGCTCACCCAGTGCTGCTCACCCAGTGCTGCTCACCCAGTGCTGCTCACCCAGTGCTGCTCACCCAGTGCTGCTCACCCAGTGCTGCTCACCCAGTGCTGCTCACCCAGTGCTGCTCACCCAGTGCTGCTCACCCAGTGCTGCTCACCCAGTGCTGCTCACCCAGTGCTGCTCACCCAGTGCTGCTCACCCAGTGCTGCTCACCCAGTGCTGCTCCCCGGCATGACAATCATGAGTTGCATGATTGCTTTGACTTTGACAGTCGTGCACAATCAGTACAGGCCGCATGCCTCTCTCCATTCCACATTCCACGAACAACGACAGGTACAAGACAAGCTAAGAGAAAGCACCCACCTTGTGCCCACGGTTGACCATCCCGTTGTCAAACGACACGTCAGCGCCGATGCCAAACGAGTACACGACGCCACCTGGCCGCACGTGATTGGTGCAGAGGCTCCACGCACCGTAGTCGTCCCCCCCTCGCCCCCCCACCTTCTCCAGCTTGCATGTCTCGTGCTGCACCAGATGCAGCAGTGACTCGTCCACCCTGCCAGGAGGATTGCAACAGGAGAAACCAGTCTCCTATATTGAAAGGTGGGGCGGTTCGTTACCATACAGAACCGCTTCTCCTGCTTGCATGTGACATGAAAAGGCACACCAGATGCAGATGGGACTCGTCCACCCTGCTAGGCAGTGAGTGAGCAGTGGGGAAGGAGAAAAAGGGTGTTGCAGGGAAGGCTCGTTGGGTCAACCGTCAACTCTCCAGCGGTTTAGGGAAGGCACGTGTGGTAGCATATCAGATGCAGTTGTGACTCGCCCACCCTGCCAGGAGGTTTGGACAGGGAAAAGGTTGAACTAGAATGGTGAGAACGTTTTTACCACCTATACCGTTTCTCCAGCTTGCATGTGTTATGGCACACGAGTGCACCTGGGACTCGTCCACCCCGCCAGGCAGTAGGGAGTGAGCAGGGGGTGGTAGGAATGTATCACCATGTGCCACCATGTGCCACCATGTGCCACCATGTGCCACCATTTGCCACCATGTGCCACCATGTGCCACCATTTGCCATCATGTGCTATTCATTTGGTATTCCAACAGCAGGCACGGAAGTGGACAGAAACAGCATGAAGAAGGCGAGAAGGGGAGGGAGGGAGAATGGAAGGGAGGGAGTGCCATGGAAGGGAGGGAGTGGGGCAAGGGGGTGAAGGCGAGGAGGGGAGTACGGATGGGAAGAAGAAGGATGGAGAGTGGAATGGCCATGGTTGCGATGAGGCCAGACCAGAGTGAGGAGGCAAGGGGTGGCAAAGAGCAGCATGAGTAAGAGGGGAGGCACGTGTTTTCGAATCTCCATCCCCTCATCATGCCTCCAACCTGGGTGCATCCGACTTCTGTGCCTCAACCCCGGTGGGGGTGGGTGGGGGGCAGCTGGAGGCCTCTTTGATCCAAGAGGCCTCAACGGGAGTGAGACCCCTTGAGGCGAGTCAACGGGCAGGTGCAGTGAAAGGGGAGGTGCAGTGAAAGGGGAGGTGCAGTGAAAGGGGAGGCGGAGTGAAGGGGAGGTGGAGTGAAAGGGGAGGTGGAGTGAAAGGGGGGTGGAGTGAAAGGGAGGTGGAGTGAAAGGGGGGTGGAGTGAAAGGGAGGTGGAGTGAGGGGGGGGTGGAGTGAAAGGGAGGTGGAGTGAAAGGGAGGTGGAGTGGGGCAATCAAGGTCAAAGAGCCCAATGAAGGAGGGAAGCGAACACAAAGAAAAAAACCGGGGCTGGGGCCTCAGCACAACACTCCCCAACGAGTGTTATTTTTTCTGGACCAGGTCTTTGTTTTCTAATATTCAGGGTATTTTCTGCACATACCCGTTGAAACTGCGTGGCTGGGGCTCCATTTGCGATGGCTTGTGCTCGTTCCGTTGCTGCTGACGTGGATCACCTTGATTGGTCACATGACCAGCCTGTTCTTGCTGATGCTGCTTCCGCTCCTCCTGCCCCACTGCCTGCTGTTGCTGTTGTTCATAGGGTTGTCGTTGCTCCACCTGTTGCACACTCCGCTGCTGTGGCTGGTAGTTTTTTTGGAAAATAGTGTCCTGCCCTTGCTGCCAGGAAGTCTCCAGCTGCCCGCGGTGCGGAATCCCATCTCCCATTCCATCACCCCGCCATCCGTTCGCGCCATTGCCCCCCTGCTGAGTTGTAACGACCGAACCGTACGAGCCCTGCTGCGCGCCGGCGGCGGCGGCGTCGGAACCGTACTGTAACGCGTACGCGGCTTCGTGGCGGCACTTGCAACCGAGCTCGTACTGGCGGAAGATGTAGAGCTGCGTCGCGAGGCCCAGCACGCACAGGATATGCCACGGCTTTATCTGCGCGGCCGCGTAGCTGAACGCCGATAGCGACGTTGGCGTCGCGGATCGCGCGTGCAGCGGCCTTCGCAGAAGGTTCTGATGGCCGCGATGCCATGATGACGATGACATCGATGGTGCTGACGTTTGCACGGAGAACCGAATTTTGATGACGTTTGGAAGCAAAAAAGAAGACGGCCGACGTATAAAGGAATAACGGAATTAGCAATATATGAGCATGTAAAATGTCGAAGGAGAGCTACAGTAGGTTTGACTAAAGTCCGACATTTGAAAAAGGAGCTCTTGGCATTGGGAACGCATTGGACGGCAGCCGCTGGCCTCAGCGAGTATATAGTTTGTACAGCATAGCTCCTGGCAGCAGATGCGAGATCGGAGCGCAATTCACGGAAGCAAAGCTGGCGCAGAAAATAGGTGCACCTGCAACTAATTGGTGGTGGGTGGTGAATGTGGTGGGGTGGGATGTGAGTGGCTTCTCCGCTCAATTGTGCTAAACTGGAAAGAGAAGTCCAGACGCTATTATATCACTCAGTTGTGTTTTGAGTGTAACTTATTTGAGTGGCACGAGAGAGGCATGACAGTAACGCGGACAGCGGTGACTGATTTACCTACCACGGCCACCTTCCAATCGCATGTCTAATCAGCGGCGAAGAACAGCCACCTTCCTATCAGATGCTTGTTCAGCGGCAACTGCCCTCGTTATTAGCGAATGTTTGCACTTCAAGCGCACTCTGGCATGGTTACAGATGTGACCTAGTTACGTTACGAAACGAAACTATGACGAATGTTCACGAATCTGGTTTCATTGTCTGGTCGTGTGATAACCGCGTGACATGTGTACAGTAATTCGGTGGCGAAGCAAGATCTCCTCTGACGGTGACAGTGTTACCCGAATCAATCTACGCGGCATCAGGGAACAGTACAACCGCGTTGGATACCGCGTCTGCCACATCGCGCGGCTCGTTCTCATGGACATGGAGAATGCGCGGCTCGAAATTTCGAGATCCTACAAAATAGCCCGAGCATCGAATTTCGTAGCTCAACAGTTCGGGCTCAAACACGAGCTTTGAGTTATCAAAATTGAGACAGAGCATTCTTGCTCGCTAAGGAGGTCGGAATGTCCTTCGCTGCCGCGCCCGAGAACGAAGACAGCGAGGGCTCGCTTCCCCCCGGATTCAGGTTCCATCCCACAGATGAGGAGCTCCTCTCCTTCTATCTACCCCGCAGAATCGCCAACCAGCCCATCCCGCTGAACGCGATCGGCGACATTGACATGTACGGGTTCGAGCCCTGGGAACTCCCGGGAAAGGCGATGGTGTCGCTTAACGGTAGCGACGAGTGGTTCTTCTTCGCGTCGCGCGACAGAAAGTACCTCATGGGCACGCGCGCCAATCGGATGACGTCTTCCGGCTACTGGAAGGCCACGGGGAAAGACCGCCCCGTGTACGCCTCGCGCAAGGAGGGGAACGAATCCCAAGGCGGCCGGGAGGAGCACGAGTCCGTTAAAGATGCCAAAAGCGGGCGCATTGTTGGGTATAAGAAGGGCCACGTATTCTACAAAGGCAGGGCGCCGCGGGGGGAGAAGACGGCGTGGGTGATGCACGAGTATCGCCTTGTAGAGCCCAGTGACGACCCGGACTCGCTGATCGGCAGTACCGTTGAGGAAGCTTCGCTTGGTGGTGGCGTCAGTGGCAAGTCAACTGAGGGCGGTAAAAAAGCGGCAGCGTCGGGACGCGCGGGAGTTCCTCCCCCGGCAACACCGCGACAGAAGCAGCAGCAACAGCTACTGCAGCTTCAGCAGCAGCAGGGGACGTCCACGTGGGTGGTGATTCGCCTCTACAAGCGCGACTCGATCCCGTTTCAGGGCGACGCGGCGAAGCGAAGCAAGCTGGGCAGCCTGAGGAAGGGACTTTCATCACCGCACCATGCCAAGTCGATGTCCCTGCCGTCATCTCCGCAGGAACTCGCGTCCGCCGCGCGCAAGTCGTGGCCCGCTTCAGACTCCCTCGATGATGGTGTGGATGCGGAATCTGCGGAGGATGACGTAACCGCTGAGGAAAGTGAGGGGGTCATTGCGGCGCCTGTCGCGTATGGCGAAGGATGCAGTAACGCGGATCCACTGCATGGCAGTAGAGTCGTGGCGCGGGTGACTACCGCGAGTTCTGACATCGTCGGCAGGCACAGCAAGGATGGTGCATTCTCCGGATATGACGGGAGAAACAGTGGAGCGAAATGTGCGGGGGAGGACAATATTCGGATGACGAGGATTGACAGTGACGGAGGGAGCTTACCTGACAGTGGACTCTTCTCAACGGTACTACGAAATGCGAACGCGCAGCCACAACCCATTCCTATCACTGCAAGTGGCAGCAGCGAAAACCCACCGACCTGGAGCTATCACGGGCCAGCGCCGGTGGCTCGAGTGCCATCGGCTCACACCATTGCGTCTCTTGAAGCGCTTCTGCTAGCAGATGATAATGCCGATGTCACGGTGGAAAATGTGAGCCACGACGCGATGACGTGGACCCCCCATGACGTGTCCCATCAGGTGGATGTGGCCCAGGATGCGGCTTGGTGGTCCACACCCACGCAGCACGATGGTCCGTCAGGAGTTGCTGGTGCGGAAGTTGCTCTCCTGCCAGGGGTGCAGTTTTCCAGTCAACAGCAGGAGCAGCTTGACAAGGAAGTCGCCGAAGCGCTGCAGCAAGTGTCTAACATGCACACGACAACAGAGTCGTCCAACCTGGCCTCCCTCCTGTTTGCAAACCTTGCATCGCCTCCTATTTTCCAGTCCACGCCATTTCCATCATCCATGCCCTTCAATCAGTCCGCGCCGACCACCACCTCTCATGGATCATTCACTCAGCCAGGCGTTGGAAGCACGGAAAAACATAACCAGGACGGTGCGACACAGTCAGGCGGAGCTTTTTCTGTTGATTCACCACCTGGGTCGCGGCCGAAAGGCAGGAGGTCACCAAAGAGGGACAGAGAGGGAAAGCTACTCGAATGAAACGAACCTTATCATACTTGGGGATACTAGAAATACTATTTTTTAGAAATTAGGTGTAATGGTAATAACAGCATGTGTTGTCTGTTTTTCGTCTATAACTATTGTTCACACTTTAATAATATTAGGGTGATAGGCCGCCTAGGAATATTCTAGTCCAGAAACAGTCTCACGCACAATCAACCCAGCATCATTTCTGTTTTTCTCTTTCTTTGATTTTGTTGGTTGCGTGGCTGTGATGTGAGCCTAGAGTCTCAAAATCGCAAGTCCATTTTCTGCTCCACTCCGTTCAGGAGAGCCATAGCTTCGAGTCGCGCGTGCTCGCGCGGTTCGAGCGTCCAGCATTTTGCTGTGGGTTGGTTGGTTGGGAGGGGGCTTCCAGCATTTCCGAGATGCGAGGAAGGACCTTTTGCTCATTGCAGGTTGACCCGCAAAGACGAGCACCAACCAGGAAGGTCGCCGTGTTGCCGCCGCACCAACCAACCAACCACGCCGCACGAAGGTGCTACTCCCTGGCATTTTTGTCCAACTGGTTCTGCGAAACTGGTTTGCCGTAATCCTTCCTACCATCGGCTGCGAGAATGTTATTGCTGCTTATATTGGGAACTACTTATTCTGGTACTCCCTACGATGTAATAGATGGGAAAATCAACGTTTACTGGTTCGCATGAAGCACTGCCCCTTAACCACGAGACATAAGAATATTAATTATAACAATGTAACTAAGGAGATATTACTTCCTGTGCTGCCAAAATAAGTGGTAACTTTGATAATTGTGCATGTTTGTCCATATTCTCCATGTTCTCCATGATCTCCAGCATTTTCAAGTTGTAAATATGTTTTTGACAGCTTCTGTCGAAGTCGTGTCCAATATTTGATTCTCTAGACCACCTCTTTACGTCATAACGCATCACATCAAACCGCGTTAAGCGCCAGCCTCAAATGTACATTGAAGAAAAAGCGCGAAAGCGAGAACTAGAACGCGAGGAGATAGCAATTCTGCCCAATAAATCATTTGGCTCATTCGCCGCAGGAAATACCAAGGATTAAGAAAATCCACAACCTTTACACACAAACTATTCAGTGCTGTCGCGCGGGTGAGTGAAGCCACCTCACCACGCCTGCCCACGCACCGCCGAGTGCCTCAGGTCGTCGCGCCTCCCCCTCCCCTCGTCGAGCTTCTCTTCCCCTGATCGCGCCTCCCCTGATCGCGCCACCCCTGGTCGCGCCTCCCCTGGTCGCGCCTCCCCTTGTCGCGCCTCCCCTTGTCGCGCCTTCCCTCCCATCCTCGTTTCTCCCCGCGTGAAGCCTCCAATTCCCTCGTCGCGCCTCCCTTCTCACCTGCCCATCCCTTGCCTTCCCTTCGCTGCGCTTCCAATCCCTCTGGTTACCTCTCCCTTCGAATACCTCCAAGGCTGTCAGCGAAATCAAACAAATCTTTTCTCCTCTGCCCCCCGCACCCCAATTTCTTCCCCATCCCTTCTTCCCCTCATGCCCCCCTGCTTTCCCTTCATTTATGCCCCTCCTTCCACTCATTTTCCCCTATTCCTGCTCCCCCATCGTCAACTTTCCTCCGTTCCCTCTCTCCTATCGTCTTCCTCTCCCGTCGTCCCTGTTTTCCCTCTTCCCTATCCCCCCCATCCCTCCCTCCCCTCTTCCTATCTCCTCTCTTCCCTCTCCGCCCTCTTCCTATCTCATCCTTTCCCTACCCCCCTTCTTCCATTCTCCTCCTTTCCCGCTCCCCCCTATTCCTAATCCCTCCCTTCACTCTCCCCGCTTTACTATCTCCTCCTTTCCCTCTCCCACCTGTTCCTGATCCCTCCCTTCACTCTCCCAGCTTTTCTTATCTCCCCCTTTCCCCCTCCCCCCTCTTCCTATCCCACCCGTTCCGTCTCCCCCTTCTTCCTATTTCCTCCCTTCCCTCTCCTCTCCCTTCCCTGTCTCCCATCTTCCCTGTCTCCCCCCTTCCCTATCTTCCCCCTTCCCTATCTCCCCCCTTCCCTATCTCCCCCCTTCCCTATCTACTTCCTTCCTCATTTTCGCTCTCCTCTGTCCCCTTCTTGTGCCATCACATCAAATCACATCACACCACACCACACCACACCACACCACACCACACCACACCACACCACACCACACCACACCCCATCCCATCCCATCCCATCCCATCACATCACATCACATCACATCCCATCCCATCCCATCACACCACACCACACCCCATCCCATCCCATCCCATCCCATCCCATCCCATTCCATCCCATCCCATCCCATCCCATCCCATCGCATCCCATCCCATCCCATCCCATCCCATCTCATCCCATCCCATCCCATCCCATCCCATCCCATCCCATCCCATCCCATCCCATCCCATCCCATCCCATCCCATCCCATCCCATCCCATCCCATCCCATCCCATCTCATCCCATCCCATCCCATCACATCCCATCACATCACATCACATCACATCACATCACATCACGTCACAACACATCACATCCCATCCCATCCCATCCCATCCCATCCCATCCCATCCCATCCCATCCCATCCCATCCCATCCCATCCCATCCCATCCCATCCCATCCCATCCCATCCCATCCCATCCCATCCCATCCCATCACATCACATCACATCACATCACATCACATCACATCACATCACATCACATCACATCACATCACATCACATCACATCACATCACAACACATCCCATCCCATCCCATCACATCCCATCCCATCACATCCCATCACATCACATCACATCACATCACATCACATCACATCACATCACATCACATCACATCACATCACATCACATCACATCACATCACATCACATCACATCACAACACATCCCATCCCATCACATCACATCACGCTCTGCATGAACCTGCACACCTACTCAAGTTGATGGAAGTAGGGCCTCCGCAGCCCACCTCTCCATTCTTGACTTCCTCTTCTGCTTGTGCTTCACATGACATCCTACACTTGAACCATGCCCATTTTCTTATTCCTCCTTCCCCCCCGACCTCGCATTCTCTCCTTCCCTCTGGCCATTTCAGCGGCAACTCTGAAGAGTTCGCTTGGCTTGGTTCACCTCGCCTTACCCCATCATCCCAAGGCACGGCATGCTCGCGGAGCAATGAACCACCGCCAGTCGGTCGCATGTGCTTTCCCAGCCGTGCGCAACTGGTGACTTTTGAGTTGGCTCAAGAGTGCAACTGGTGCACGCTCAATTGCACCAGGCGCAGCCGTCGTGGCAACTTTGTGACTCGCGGTGAGGGCCCAACCTAGACGAACGACATGGTCCGATTTTATGCACCATCACTTATAGCCAAAAAGCTGCTTGTTCAATCTCTAAAAAAGCATGAGCCTGAAAATTTGTCTGTATTGCCGCCTTATGCGGCAGCGATCACAAGGCTGCTGAATCGCTGTCTTGTGTGCGAGCCGTCCTGTACGCGGGATCGACTAGGGCTGGACCAGTCGACCATTCTCATTGTTCCGGCCAGTCGCATTTGTTGATGCGCAGTGGTATCAACATCAGCAGCGTCTGTGAGTCACAGTTTCCACGCAGCACTCCCACGTTCCTTCGTCCCCTTGTTCGGATTCTTCCGTTTTAGTATCTTCCAGTACTCTCATCCTTCCCTCCCCTCTCATCTCCACGGCTCTCTCTCTATCTTCTCTTTCCTCCTCCTTCCTTCCACACACCTGCCTGCTTCTTCATACACCCCTCGCGTTCTGCTCTCCTTTGTGGCAGTAAGAGTTTTTTACCGTTCTCCCGCTCCACTGAACCACTTCTCTCTCCTCTATGTTTGTTCTACCAACCGCACTCGCATCCTTCTTTCCACCCTTGCTCTCCTTTCCCTCTTCCTCCCAGAACCAATCACCGTGCCGTGCGCAATCTGATCCACCTCAGAGCATTCTGAAGTGCTCTGCGCACTCTGCACCATTCTAAACCACGCTAAATCCCTCCTGCCGGTCACCCATGGCGTCGTCAGTGCTGAGCCTTCTCGATCGAAGCCCAGACGACCCCGTCGCCACTCAGCTCCTTGCCACCCTTGCAAGCAGCAGTAACGCCAGCAGTAGCAGCAGCACAAGCAGCAGTAGCAGCGGCACAGGCAGCAGCACAAGCAGCAGCGGCAGTGGCAGCAGCGCAGGGGGTGCGAGCAGCCCCCTGGAGGCGGAGAGAAAGGCGTATCCAGCAGTGAGGGGGCGGGCAGCGTGTGAGTATGTCAACTACAAGGCGATGGGGCTGTCACTGTGTGTGGAGGACGGGAGGGTGGCGGCCGTGCATGTGTACAGCAACGTGCATGGGTACAAAGCTTTCACGGGTTCCCTTCCGTTCGGTCTCAAGTGAGTCTGTGTAGCACTCACGCCCCATGCACGTGACTTGCAAAGAGATAGGAGGGTGGCGGCCGTGCACGTGTACAGCAACGTGCATGGGTACAAGGCTTTAGCTGGGACACTGCCGTTTGGACTCAAGTAAGTGCATACAGGACCCATGTCACATGCATGTGACATGCAGAGTGCTGGGAGGGTGGCAGCCGTGCATGTGTACAGTGACGCGCATGGGGCGTTCGCTGGGAGTGCATGTGAGTGCATGCTCTTGTGAGCGCTTTTTGGAAATGATTGAAAGTCAAACCACATGCATGTGACACGCAATGAGCTGGGAGGGTGGTGGTTGTGCATGGGTATAGTGATGTGCATGGGTACGGTGATGTGCATGTGTAGAGTGTCGACACCCTATATATCCCTTCCTCTCACCTCTCATTTTGAGCATCAAGGCCAGGGAGGGGTTGGAGGCCCTAGTAGGTCCCCTGCTCACCATCCCCCACTTCTCTCCTCCGTTTCTCATGAACTCATCCCCTCTCCCCTCCTCTCAGAGTGATCATGAAAGCCAAAGAGGTGGCGGCAGCGCTGTGGGGGGGAAGGAACATGAAGACAGGGGGACAGCAGCGGGGTCGTTAATTAACCACCTTTGAGTCGATTCATGTGCACGCATGCCTCGCATTCGTCCTCCCATCCCTGTTCCCCTCCTTCCAGGGTGAGCATGAAAGCCAAGGAGGTGGTGGCGACACTTGGGGAACCAGACGTGAAGGCAGGGGGGGGCAGCAGCGGGGCAGTGACGGTGATTTATTCGCAGCTGAAGCCGGCACTGCAGCGAGCCATTGGGCTGCAGGTCACGTTTGTGGGGCGCAGCTGGGAAGATGCTGACAATGCTGTAGACTGCATCACTCTGTATTTTGCAACGGACAAGTCATGACTCACAAAACATTTCTTTCTGAGATGCCCTGGTTCAATCTTTGATACCGTATATTCCGTCGCAGCCCAGCTGAGGTTCTCAATCAACCCTTGTTTCAGAAGGATTTCTCTGAACAAGGAACAGCGCTTGATGATCCTTCCATGCAAATACGTGAGTGAGTTCCACAAAAAAAAAAAAAAACAAGAGGAGACAAAGTCATCCTAGGGTTGCGAAGCTTTTTTTGTAAGTACATTCTTATTTTTATACAACATGTAGTAGTTGGTGTGGAAGTTAACGGCATTCCTTTTACCTAGTCAAGATTTGAAAAACGGTCACCAGGAATCGAACTGGTGACCACTCGATTGCTTACCGGATTTCAACCAACTGCCGCAAAAATTTATAGGTAAAATGTAAATACGCCAACTTTGGTACTACCTAGAGTTTCACATCTCCTTTCTTCTCTTTCCTCTCGCCAGTGAGTCTCTGTTCCCCACCCACGCCCGCCAGTCACGCTCACCTACCTACCAGTGGTGAGTATATCTCTAAGCTTTAAGTAGAACTAAGGTAGATGCTATATTCTAGACTAAACTAAGTATCGACGACCTTCAATATAACTAGTTCGTAATGCTCTTATATAGAATGTAGAAGTCTCACACATTCTACCTTGGCAGCTAGATCGTTTTTAGTCCGACCCTATCTTTAGAAAGCATCTCATCGTTTCATTTTCCAGTTCAGCTGTTCATCGTTTCATTCTGTTCAATTCAAATGGTTTTCCTTCTTCCTATGATTCTTTCCCCCCTTCAGCTCGCCTGCTCCATATGCGCCATATGCTCCCTCATTTTCCTCTCGCCAGTGGAGCTTTTCTTGGCATACGCCTTCGAACCACGCTCCAGCTACCTACCACTGACAGGTGAGAACCTAGTAAGTAGAACTAAGTTGATTTTGTAAGCTAGATCTAGTCTCATTGACGAGAGTTGTTTATCCAAAGGTTGTAAGCCCTTGTTAGGACCAGCCTGTTAAACTGTATTTTGTTGGTAGGCTGTAGTGGGGTAGCCAATATGGGGTACAACCCCAACTAGGGTTTGCTACTTGTACCCAATTCTTCCATTCAATGCACTCATTCTTGCCTAGTTCTTCTGACATGGTATTCAGAGCAGGAGGTCCCTAGGACCTACCGACCGTTTTTTTTAAGGGCCCACCACCGCTCGCATGCGGTTACCACGCTACCCCGTGCCCTAGCCTCGTAGCGCCCTCGCGCGCCCTCGTTAGCGCCCTCGTGCGCCTCTCGTTAGCGCCCTCGCGCGCCCTCGCTAGCGCCCTCGCGCGCCCTTGTTAGCGCCCTCGTGCGCCTCTCGTTAGCGCCCTCGCGCGCCCCTCGCAGCGTCGCCCGCCCGCCGAGCCGCCCGCTCGCAGCGTCGCCCGCCCGCCCGCTGCCCGCTTCGCAGCGTCGCCCGCCCGCCTCGCTGCCCGCTTGCAGCGTCGCCCGCCCGCCCGCTGCCCGCTTCACAGCCCGCCCGCCGAGCCGCCCGCTCGCAGCGTCGCCCGCCCGCCCGCTGCCCGCTTCGCAGCGTCGCCCGCCCGCCTCGCTGCCCGCTTGCAGCGTCGCCCGCCCGCCCGCTGCCCGCTTCGCAGCCCGCCCGCCGCGCTGCCCGCTCGCAGCGTCGCCCGCCCGCCCGCTGCCCGCTTGCAGCGTCGCCCGCCCGCCCGCTGCCCGCTTCGCAGCCCGCCCGCCGCGCTGCCCGCTCGCCGCGTCGCCCGCCCGCCCCGCTGCCCGCTTCGCAGCCCGCCCGCCCGCTGCCCGCTTCGCAGCCCGCCCGCCGCGCTGCCCGCTCGCCGCGTCGCACGCCCGCCCCGCTGCCCGCTTTGCAGCCTGCCCGCCGCACTTCCCGCCTGCAGCGCCGCCTGCCCGCCGCGCTGCCCGCTTCGTAGCCCGCCCCCCGCACTGCCCGCTCGCCGAGTCGCCCGCCCGCCGCGCTTCCCGCCGAGCTACCTACCTGCAACGCTGCGGCAGCTTTCTTGCTCAGTCGCACTGTCACTATGGCTTCCATCCGCGTACTGTCGTTCGATGCTGAGGGCCGCCCTGTGAAGTTCGCCACTTGGCTGGATGACCTGCAGCTGTTCCTTCTGAGCGATAGCAAGGAGCATGTGTCGCTCTATGATTACGCGTCTGGTGCTGCACCTGCCCCTCCTGCCACAGCTGAGCTTAGTGTTCGTTCCCACTGGCAGACTCGTGACGCAGCTGCTCGCCTAGCCATTCGCAGTCACCTCCCGCTAGCTGAGCTCGAGCATTTTGGCGACTGCAAATCCGCTAAGGCCCTGTACGATGCTGTCGTTGCTCGCTACTCCTCGCCTGCCACAGCCGAGCTTAGCCGCCTCATGCTGCCGTACCTGTTCCCTGAGCTGTCCACCTTTGCTACAGTCGCCGATCTTATCACCCACCTTCGCACTAGTGATGCTCGCCTGCGTGCTGCCCTTCCCACCGAGTTCTGCGCTAAGAACCCCCCTCCACTGTACTGGACACTCCACTTCATAGTCACCCGACTCCCTGACACCCTCAGCTCAGTTCGAGACCACTTCCTTGCTCGCTGTCCCACTGAGCTCACAGTCGCCCTCCTAGAGGAGCAGCTGCTAGCGGCCGAAAAGAGCATTGTAGCTGTCGGTGCTGCTCGTGGCGCTCCTCGCACCCCCATCTTTGAGGGGTGTTCTCCCTCTCCCCTCGCTCCCTCCTACGCTACTGCTGCTGCTGTTGACTTCCTTGGTGCTGAGTCTGCTGGCGCTGCTTCTGCTCCTGGTGGGAGGCGCCGCACCGGCAAGGGCAAGGGGGGCAAGGGTGGCGGGGGTGGCGCTGGGGGGGGAGGAGGTGGGGGAGGTGGGGGGGGAGGCGGTGCTGGAGGGAGCGGTGGCGGGAGTGCTGGTGGGAGTGGGGTCGGCAGCGGAGGCGGGGGCGGCGGAGGGAGCAGTGGCGGTGGTGGCGGCGGCGGCGGTGGCGGCGGCGGCGGCGGTGGCGGCGGCGGTGGTGGCGGTCGGAGCGGAGGTAGTGGTGGTGGCGGAGGTCGGAGTGGAGGCACTGGCTCGGGCCAGAGCTCCCAGCAGCAGCAGCGTCCCCAGACGACCCAGCAGCTTCGTGAGTGGCTTGCTCAGCGTGGGACGTCGGGGGGCAATGGCCGCTGTTCCTATGTCATTCGCACAGGTGACCGCAAGGGACAGACGTGTGGGAGGTTCCACACCCCGTACCGCTGCTTCTCCCGCCTTGACGACGCTTGGCGTGAGGAGATGGGCGAGGATGTTGAGCGCCCCCGCTGGGCTGAGCTCATGAGGGCTGGTGTTGATATCTTTGCTCTTGACTATGATGCTATTATTGCTGCCATGTATGCATTGACTGTTAGTGCCGAGGGAGACTGTTACTTGTGTGTGCCGCCTGACCCAGGTATAGAGCCCGCTGCCCTGGGTACTAGTGAGTCTGCTCTCTCCGGTATGGTGCCCCCTGTACTTGCTCCCTCCAGTGCTGTCCCGGCTGTTTGCGAGTCTGCTCTCTCAGGTACAGCACCCACAGAGACTGCTCTCTCAGGTACCGCACCGGCTGAGGCCTGTCACACCTTCACCCTTGACTCAGGTGCTTCCCGCTGTTTCTTTCGTGACAGTACTGAGCTCACACCGCTTCCTGCACCGGTCCCAGTCTCCTTGGCTGACCCCTCTGGGGGCCCAGTCCTTGCCCAGTCCACCACTGTGCTCCCTTGTCCGGCGGTTCCGTCTGGCTCGTTGTCGGGTTTCCACCTCCCCTCGTTCTCGACGAACCTGGTGAGCAACGCTGTCATCCAGGATCAGTGGGTTGACACCTTTACCCCTGGAGGACAGCGTGTGGCGATCTGCACGTGCTCCAGGACCGGCCGTCACCTGGCTACGTTTACCCGTCGGCCGGGGTCGAGTCTCTACACACTGACCACTGCGTCTCCTCAGGTCGCTGCTGTCGGTCAGGTGTCCGCGTCAGGTCTGGTGGCCCACACCTGTGAGTGTCGTTCCCTGTCACACCAGACTCTTCTCTGGCACCACCGCCTGGGTCACCCCTCCTTGCCACGCCTCCGTGGCATGCACCGTCACCGCCTTGTGTCTGGTCTTCCCAGGTCTCTCCCTCCCCTCCCTGCCTCGCCTGCGCCGCCTTGCCTTCCTTGTGTCGAGGGGCGGCAGCGCGCCGCCCCTCACTCCTCCTCGTTCCCCCCGACAGAGGCTCCTCTGCAGACCCTCCACCTGGACGTGTGGGGCCCAGCCCGCGTTCGTGGCCAGGGCGGTGAGCGGTACTTTTTGCTGGTTGTCGACGACTACTCGCGTTACACCACGGTCTTCCCCTTGCGCACCAAGGGTGAGGTCCCTGCTGTTCTGATCCCTTGGATCCGCACAGTTCGTCTCCAGCTCCGCCGCCGTTTCCGGACGGATCTTCCTGTCCTGCGTCTGCACTCTGACAGAGGTGGTGAGTTTTCCTCCGATCTCTTGAGGACCTTCTGTCAGGCGGAGGGCATCGAGCAGACCTTCACGCTTCCGGACTCCCCACAGCAGAATGGGGTTGCTGAGCGCCGCATTGGCCTGGTCATGGAGGTCGCTCGTACCTCCTTGGTCCACGCGGCGGCTCCCCATTTTCTGTGGCCGTTTGCTGTCCGGTACGCCGCGCATCAGCTCAACCTCTGGCCCCGTGTCTCCTTGCCGGAGACCTCGCCCACACTGCGTTGGACGGGGGAGGTTGGCGATGCGTCGCGCTTCCGGGTGTGGGGTGCTCGTGCCCTTGTCCGCGATACGTCCGCGGACAAGCTCTCCTCCCGCACGCTTCCCTGTGTCTTCCTTGGATTTGTCCCTGACGCGCCTAGCTGGCAGTTTTACCACCCCACCTCGCGCCGGGTCTTCGCCTCTCAAACGTCACCTTTGACGAGTCGGTCCCTTTTTACCGTCTCTTCCCCTACCGCACTGCCCCCCTCCCTCCCCCGCCGCTTTTCCTTGCTCCTGGTCCCCCTCCGGTAGACCCCCTTCCCCCTCAGGGTCCTGCTCCTTCAGGTGTCTCTCAGGTAGACCCTCCTCCCGTCGCTGAGCCTGTCGAGGTCACAGGTGACTCAGGTGCTGCTGCAGGTGGTGCTGCTGGGAGTGCTGAGCCTGGGGGTGCTGAGCCTGCGGGTGCTGGGCCTGGGAGTGCTGGGACTGCGGGTGCTGGAGCTGAGGGTACTGTGCCTGGGAGTTCGGCGCCTGGGGGTGCTGAGCCTGGGGGTGCTACGACTGGGGGTGCTGAGCCTGCGTGTACGGAGTCTGGGGGTGCTGAGCCTGGGGGTACTGCGCCTGAGGGTACTGGGCCTGGGGGTGCTGCTGCTGAGCCTACGGAGCCTGGGGTTGCTGCGTCTGGGGGTGCTCTTCCTGACGGTACTGGAGCTGCTGGAGCTGACGGTTCTGGACACGGTGGTCCTGCTGGTTCTGGAGGTGCTGGCGAGGGGAGGTCTGACGCTGCTGGGGCCTCTGGTGCTGACGTCGCCGACTCGGGGGGTGCTGCGGCGGAGGGTGCTGGTCCAGGTGCTTCTGGTGCTCCGGGTGCTGGAGGTGCTGGCGGAGCTCCGCCGTCGCGCCTGTTCTTCGCTCCTCCGTCGCCGTCGGCTTTGCCGCCGCCTGACACGGTGCTTCGCCAGGTTCTTTCCCTCCCGTCTTCCACTGGCCTTCCCCTTCAGCCTGGCTCCCCCCTCCCTGCTCCTGTGCCTTACACTGCACAGCCGGACTCGCTTACGGAGCGTCGTGAGCCTGCGTCTCGTCCTGCCTCGCCTGTTCGCGCTGCTCGCGCTGCTCGCACTGCGCGCACTGGTCCCACTGGTCGTCGTGTCGCGCGTCCGCGTCCTCCTCCTGTTCCTGGCACGCACATTATGGCCCTTCGTCCTTCCACTGGTCCACAGCGTGTCCCCCTGCCGTCTCCTCCTGCGTCTTCTCTTCCTGACGTTCCCGACCCTGAGTCTGACAGTGTTCGTGCTGCCCACCCTACTGTTACGCGTCTTCTCGCCACTGTTGTCACTGACCCGTCGTTTGAGTCTGCTGCTGCGTCTGCCCTGGTCGCTGAGCTTGTCGACTTTGCTGCTGCCTGTCGTCTAGACTACGCCGCCAGTCTTGTTACTGAGTCTGAGTCTGTCTGTCCTCCGTCCGTCGGGGGTGAGTGTGCTCTTGGCACGGACGTCCTTGAGGACAGGCAGGAGGACTTTGACTCTCTTGCGGCTGCTGTACCTCATCTCGTGGCCTGGTTGCTTGCCCCTGAGGGAGACCCGGATGCACTAGACATCCCCACTCCGCGCTCTTACGCAGAGGCGATCTCGGGTCCCTACTCCTCTCAGTGGCAGACAGCCATGGACGCAGAGATGGCATCCTGGAAGTCCACAGGCACCTACGTCGACGAGGTTCCCCCTCCTGGGGCGAACATCGTCGATGGCATGTGGATTTTCAGGGTGAAGCGGCCGCCAGGTTCTCCGCCTGTCTTCAAGGCTCGTTACGTTGCTAGAGGCTTCAGTCAGCGTCAGGGGGTCGACTTCTTCCAGACCTTCTCCCCCACCCCGAAGATGACCACTCTTCGGGTTCTGCTGCACGTTGCTGCTCAGCGTGACTACGAGCTTCACTCTCTTGACTTCAGCACAGCGTTCCTGCAGGGCAGCCTGCACGAGGAGATCTGGCTGCGCCGCCCACCTGGCTTTACTGGGTCGTTTCCCCCTGGTACCCAGTGGAGTCTCCGCCGGCCAGTCTACGGTCTCCGCCAGGCGCCACGTGAGTGGCACGACACACTGAGGACTACACTTGCGGCTCTTGGGTTCGCGCCGTCTACTGCTGACCCGTCGCTGTTTCTGCGCACAGACACGTCGCTGCCGCCGTTCTACATTCTCGTGTACGTCGACGACTTGGTCTTTGCTACTGCTGACACTGAGGCACTCGCTCGTGTGAAGTCGGAGCTGCAGAAGAGACACACCTGCACTGACCTGGGTGAACTGCGTAGCTACCTTGGCTTGCAGATCACCCGGGACAGAGCTCGCCGCACCATCACCCTGACTCAGTCACACATGGTGCAGCAGGTCCTTCAGCGCTTCGGCTTCCAGTTCTCCTCACCACAGGCCACACCTCTGGCTACCAGCCACTCGCTCTCAGCTCCACCTTCGGACGAGTCCGTAGAGCCGAGTGGCCCGTACCCAGAGCTTGTAGGCTGCCTCATGTACCTGATGACTTGCACGCGACCTGACCTCGCGTACCCTCTTAGCATCCTTGCTCGTTACGTTGCACCTGGGAGACACAGGCGAGAGCACTGGGAGGCTGCTAAGAGGGTGCTGCGTTACTTGTGCAGTACATCAGGCATGGGGCTGGTGCTTGGAGGACGCGACAGAGTTGTCCTCACTGGTCACTCGGACGCTTCTTGGGTGGACGACCTGGCTACGCAGCGGTCGTCACAGGGTTACACCTTCAGCCTTGGCTCTGGTTCTGTCTCGTGGCGGTCCACCCGCTCTTCTTCTGTTCTCGGCTCTAGTTGTGAGGCTGAGATCTACGCCACAGCCATGGCTGCACAGGAGTTACGCTGGCTCACCTACCTGCTGACTGACTTGGGAGAGCGGCCTAGTTCTCCTCCAGTTCTGTACGGTGACAACAAGGCGGCCCTTGCCTTGTGTGAGGAGCACAGACTGGAGCACAGGACGAAGCACATTGCTCTTCGCTACTTTCTTGCTCGAGAGCTTCAGCAGCGCGGTCAGCTTCGGCTTGTGTACGTGGACTCGAAGGCCAATACTGCTGATATCTTCACCAAGGCACTCCCGCCTAGTGATCATCAGCGGCACTGTACTTCTTTAGGCCTTGTGTCCACGTTTCCTCATTTGCTTACTGCTTGACTTTCTTTGTACTGTACTTTATATATATCTTGCTGCTTGTCCTGTTCTATATCTAGCACTACATGTGAACTGGCCTTGTGGCCTTTGCTTGTGCTCGGAGGGTGGTGACGTTGTGATCCACCCTGGGCTTTGCTTTGCTTTGCTGGACTGGTCTTGTGACCCCTTGTTATCCCCCACTTTGCCTATGGGGGTGTGTTAAACTGTATTTTGTTGGTAGGCTGTAGTGGGGTAGCCAATATGGGGTACAACCCCAACTAGGGTTTGCTACTTGTACCCAATTCTTCCATTCAATGCACTCATTCTTGCCTAGTTCTTCTGACACAGCCATTACTTGTAATTCCTACGCTAAACTAAGTTAAGCATAGCTAGCTTCTGTGAGATCTTATGTTTTAGGTTGATACTGATTTATCGGTACAATCGACTCATGCATGCTTCCGTTCCGCCCGTAGGTCCCTTCTTCCTTCATCCCCTTTACCTACACTTGTTCATGACCTATTAGTTTTTCCTTCTACCTACATTCTGTGTTCTAGTTTTCTTTTCTTTGGTTATATATTCTTGCAACATCTGTCTTATTCCTTCGTGTTCTGATTTGTCCATTTCATTCATTCCGTCGTTATTTTTTGCATTCTTTCGACCTTCCTTGCCCACATCCGTATTATCGTCCCCTGTTTTCATCTGTTACTGCTTTGACGTTTCCCATGTCATAGGTATAGCTAATGTATGAGATACTCTGTCGATTGTAGGTTGTAGGCTGTTCCAGCCTCTTTGCTCTCTAGTATGTTTTCCTTGTAGGTGTGTTTGCATGAGTTTGCTGCTTGTTTACATACCCTAAACCTTAAACTCTGTTTTGTTTGTTGTACCGGCTATTTTCTTTCCGTTCCTCCTTTCTATTTTCTAAACCGGTATTTCAGGAGCCTTGATGGTCGGGAAGGCGATTTCAATCTGGAAAATGTGTATTGGTCACTAGGATGTGACGTATTGTCCTTTTAACGTTGATTTGCTTGTTATTTAGTATCGCGTGTATCGCGTGTTTTTTGGCTGGGTTTGCCAGAGCTCGTGTTTTTTATTGTGTGAATATGTTTGTTTGTATGCGTGCATTCATCTCATCTGTCATTGCAATATCAATGCATGTCTGTCAATTTTAAAAAGGGGGTTCATTTCTATCATTTCTCATTGGTTCATTGGCGCACTCAGTGACTCGTGTGTTTGCCACTTCGAACTGGATTTGATAGAGTGAAGAACCTCTTTTTTATACCGTAAACGCCCGGATATAAGACAGTGTTGAATAGTAGACAGGGGTTGTCTACTATACGGGTGTCTCTTATAAACAGGCTAGCCTCATTATAAGACATCTGTTTGTGTGTACGAGATAAGACATATATGTCTTATAATCGAAACTTCAATACATTATAGCGAAAGTTGAAATAACGCGTACATTTTTGTCTGCCCTTGGCTGTGACGCCCTAGAGGACAGGCAGTTTGAGCTAGAGTTCCTGGCGGCCGCTTCCCCTCATCTCTGTGCCATGCTCCTCGCCCCTGAGGGTGACCCCGACGCCCTTGACATTCCGACTCCTCGCACTTACGCTGAGGCAGTGTCAGGGCCTTGGGCCTCTCAGTGGAGAGCTGCCATGGACGCAGAGATGGCCTCCTACAGATCCACAGGCACCTACGTCGATGAGGTTCCCCCTCCGGGGGCGAACGTAGTCGACGGCATGTGGATCTACAGGGTGAAGCGGCCACCGGGATCTCCTCCGGTCTTCAAGGCGCGCTACGTGGCTAGAGGTTTCAGTCAGCGCGAGGGAGTTGACTTCTTTCAGACCTTCGCGCCCACCCCGAAGATGACCACTCTTCGGGTGTTACTACACGTAGCAGCACAGAGAGACTACGAGTTACACTCTCTCGACTTCTCTACTGCTTTCCTTCAGGGCAGTCTTCACGAGGAGGTCTGGTTGCGTCGTCCCTCTGCCTTCACTGGCTCTTTCCCTCCTGGGACCCAGTGGAGGCTGAGGCGACCGGTTTACGGTCTTCGTCAGGCTCCTCGTGAGTGGCACGACACCCTGCGTTCTACCCTGTCTGACCTTGGGTTCCAGCCGTCTTCTGCTGACCCGTCGCTGTTCGTTCGTCGTGGCCCCACAC